TTATATATTCGTGCCAGTGAGGGCGTCCTGAACTTGAGTAGGACACAACTCTATTTTAAATCTTCAAAAAATCATCGTCTTTCATCCAAGTAAAATATGTGCCAAAGAATGGTAATGTTGGGGTGGGGAGCGAAGGGAGGTTTTTTGACAAAAACCAAGCGCAGAGATTGGCGCAATGCTCTTGTGAAGTACTTTTATTTCGTTTTTAGGAACAACAGCGCAGATTAACGCCCAGATCCTTCGTTTACACAAATTGATGCTTTATGTGAATCATGGTGCCGAAAAACCGGGTCCATTCTCTAATTAAATGCACAGACTCGCATTTTATTTTGACTGCTTTAACTCAAGTATGTAAAAATTATTTGACTTAAAAGTATGCCTATGCCAGTAGTTCGACCGAAGGGAGATATTTTACAATAAATGAAAATTATGATGTCATTCCACTTGCTTGTTTTTTGTTGTTTATATCGGCCAGAGGAATAAGGAAACAGACAAGATGTACCCTAGCGGTTATTTTCTAGTCAATCAAAGAGCTTTCACATCACCATCAAAGAGTAGACGCCACTAGTGAATTTGGTAAGAAGTTTTGCCTGTACGTGATTTCCGTATCGATGTGAAGTTTGTGAATTCTTCGAGTAGGTGAACCCTGATCTATAATTTTCTCCTGTACTGCGTAGTCCGACACGAGTTCGTCGTCAACACAAGGAGGAGAGTCAATTGAGCTACAAACAACACTTGAGGGCGCACATTCATTACCATCACCATCATCGTCGTCGATGGAGAGTCGTAAAGGTAAAGAAGAATCATATTTTCTTTCACTTCTGGGGGTTGATTCATTCCTGCCAAATTTTCGGTTTTGGTGGAAGTAAAAGACAAACTCTTCCAAGACGGAATCGAGATAGGTTACAACCTCGTTAATTGCTTTTTCGGCCTCAACTTCATTGACAGTACGGCCACGACATTTCCAGCATCCACAGCGAACGGATGGTTTTGGTTTCATCAAGTCGTTCATTGACATAGCTTGAGGGATATGATTGATGTTGGAATTCATTGAACTCCATAGCAATGCAGCGTTGGAGGCTGCGGTGTTTCTGATGAGCTTAAAGGCTATTTCGAGTACTTCGGTTCGGGTCAAAGAATTGCACATATCCAAGATAGCTGTTGTGGTGATTGTTCCCTTACTATGAGAAAAGTGCTGCCCCATCGCCACCAAAGCTAATTGTGACTATGTTCCGAAAATGACTTTGAGAATTTTAAACTAATTGAAAATCGATTCGAATCGGTTGATTAAACTGCCGATGTAGTGCTCAGTAGTTTTGCGATTAAAGTGGGAGCCATTGGTTGCTAAAAATCCTAATGATCATCAACTCAGCAGGCAAGGAAATGCAGCTGCATTTTAATCACCGAATTACCTTGATGCGTGATAGTGCAGAAAATGCTGTGATTTTCGAGGCACGTCAAAGGATCTTTGTAATAGTTGCC